TTTAATTATTTTTATTTCCAAACTGATTTTAACCAGTTCTATAGTAAGGTAACATTCCAATAGACAATATGCAAAGCTTTTTTTTCAGTTTACAGCAGTATTTATTACACAAAATTTAAGTAAAGCTTAACATGCCGATCTTGCCCCGATCTCCCCTTTATCTCACGACTGAATGAACCAAAAATTCTGAAACTTAGCAAGGTTATTTCTACATGTGGGGCATTAATACTATTAAATTTTGGTGGTTAAAAGTCAGGAGATGAGGAGATAGAGACGGAGGTTGGATGTCGTATCTCGAGTGTGGTCGGACTTATTACACGTTATTGACATTTACAATTTTTTTTTTTTTTAATCTCAGCACAATTAAGTCTTTTGCCATTTTATAATATATAATATAAATTATTTTAAATAAAATTTCATAACAGATAACGCCATATACAATTTTTATTTTGTGCTTATGTGTCCTAATGTTTCTTAAAACAGAGAAACTTCTCATAATTCAGCAAAATTACTCCCTTAAGCTTCTGTCGTGATTTAAATTTTACATCGTGGCATAATTTAAAAAATCGTGTAACTTCCTGTTCGAGTGTATGAAAAGTCAAACAAGTCATTTGTCAGCTTTATTTTTATTTTTATTTATCAATATTTTATATCATATTGTATCAAAGTATAATAAGAAAAATTTTATACGCGTTTATGCTTACTGTATCTGTTTCTAATATAGTTTTATCTGAAAGTTATTTCCTCGGAGAATCAAAGTCTATTCTTTAATTCTTATGGAAAATTCTAAATATTTTCAATAGGAAAATCTACGGTACATTTGTATTTTACAAGTCAAAAATATATCTTAATTATACAAAGATGTATCAAAAATTCAATTAAGTTTATACATAAAACAAAAATTATTCCTCACGTTATATCTAGTTTTTTTTTATTACATTTTTTCGTTATTTTCCAGATAAAGTGAGTGTTTCCTGTATTTAGTAAGGTAAGATTTTCTGTTGTAATTAAACTATTCTCATAAATGTTCTTGTAACAGTCTAATAATTATAAATTCTGGAACTAATAAATTTTAATACGAGATGAAATTCAAAATACCTAATTACAGTACTAATTGGAATAATTATCTTCAATTCACATAGTGGAATAACACTGACAATTCAATGAATAAGTGTAATGTCACGACATATATTTACAGTTTAAACGTCTAGTTTTATGATCGATGTGTAAAATTTACTTTGAAAATAAGAAAGTAAAGTACAGTCTTGGTATTCTGATACAACTGAAACTGGAACAGTGTCGGATTAAGGAGATTGCTGGATTATTAGTTTATTCGGTGGCTTAATCGTTCAGAAAGAAAGCATTCGTTTACTTATTTGTATTAACCAAAAATACATATTGAATATCAAGAAAATATGGAAAAGAAACAATCAATTTGAGCAGCTTAAAATGAGCCGAACACTCTTTAATATCGTGCCCAAGTTGGGGCTCGGTATCATACCACTTTTGGTGGGAATTTGTTCAAATTTAGTGGGAACTTGAGTTTGAAATAATGGAAAATTGTCTACGACATACAACAGTGTCAAGAATACCCGAGAGTTTCCTAGTGTTTTATTATCGAGATTCTACTGTATATGTTTCCTAGATCTCTATTAGTATAACTCTTACAACAGTAGACGGCTAATGGCCGAAACAGAAGAGACATTAACTTGCCACTCTGCTAATTCCAAATCACAGCCTCAAGAATTTTCATGGATGATTTAATACGGAGATTTCCGGCAGCATACAATTTTGAATTCGATCATACCCATAATGAGCATGAAAAAAGCTATCAGTATGCACAGTGAAGAAAGAGTAAACAAAAATCCAACCACAAATATAAAAAAACGAGACTGTTTTATAGCATCAAACGAGACGTTCATTTTTATTTCAAAGGATAACTTTTACACATTTTTATATTTTGGCTGTATATAAAATAAATGCATTTAAATCTGCATAATTATTAATTCATTTAATTCGTATTAATTTGGATTACACACAAAAAAATCTTTAATACGAATCCTCAAATTACAATTAATGCAAATCGACCATTTAAAAAGCGAATTCGACTGATGGTATTAGGCAACGACATTGTTTTGGAGAATTTATTTTATGTATTTGAAGAAGTAATATACGAAAAAACACAAATAAGAATCAACAAACCTTCACATACGAGTTTAGAATTTATACCAGTTACTTTTAGTAATATTCTTCCCCTTCTTTCGGTGTAATCACATCCGCAAAGATTCGGAACGTTTTCTTGGCATCGTTTATGAACGTTCATATCACATGCTGCGAAAAAATTAATAGAAAATATAACATAAACCTTGTAAAAATATTAAATTAATTGATTATGTTTACAGGAAGAACATAAATTACAGCGAGAGAAAGAAATGAAAGAATTTTCAACGTAACGTTGTTCACTAACGTTCAAAAATACTGTTCTAGAAACATTAGGAATCAAAGATATTCATTAACTGCTAATTTATTCTATATGAAAGTAAGTTTCATAAATGCCGATTAAGTGGATCAGTAGTTGTATTTATGAGTAATTATACAACCTTCCACAATGACAAAGAGAAGCTCCAATTAAAACAAGTTCAATATTTGCATATATTTTAAATATGTGAGAGTAAATATAACATTAAATACACAATAGGAGCTCGCAACAGAATTAATTTTGTAAATCAAATGTTTTTATTAATAAACAATTTACCTTTTTTTTTCGGTTGTATATATGGTATGTTACGATTCGTATGGATATTACTGATCTAGTATATTAGTTATTGACACATATGGATGGATGGAGACAGGGCCAGAGATTTGCAAAAAATACAAAATGACTGTTATCAATAAATAATGCGAGTGCAATTGTTGTCCTTGGAAAAGATTCATAAACTCATTTCAAAGCAGCAACAAACTTCTCACTTATTTGTTGAAATTAAAATAACTCGACCTGCACGCCTTTCCGATTTAAATCCTCTAGATTTTTTTCTTATGGATGCTTAATAACTCGCTAATTAACCTTTTTTCATGTTTACAGAATCATGTTCACACTTTTTCAGGCTTACAGAGGGAAGAAACCCTTCTATAAGCCTGTGAAATTTGGCCAAGCATTAAACAGATATAGTTAAGAAGCTGAGTGAAACACCCTGTATATACAGGATATTTCAGCTTCTTAACTATATAACTTCTTCCTTCTTTAAATACATTATGTAACTTAATATATAATTATATAATATATATTAATATGAGATACGGCTCATAAAAATATAATTTGAATTGTGTTTATGTAGCTTGATTGATAATAAAAATCAGTTACATTAAATAGAAAGGTAAGTGAATTATTTGATAAATCTTTGAGTCGAGTGCAGCATAATTAATTAATTAAAATCCATTATAAAATTAATGTACTGTAATGTACGTACCTTGACACTGACATCCCTGCTTGCCTAAACCCCTGAAATGAATTAAATTATTTAATAATAAATACATAATCCTTAATAAAATTAAAAATAATAAATATGTTTAATTATTTGAGAACAGTTTCCATATTTAAATTTCATTTGAATAAATGTAGGAATGTCATACGTCAGTGAAAAAAGTTTAGCATATTTAATTTATCCTATCACCTAAAGATATTAAATACAGTACAAACTCTAATCCGTTCCTTAATAATTCGGCATATCTTCCAGTTTGATCTGTATCCATGTAAACTTTAGTCATTTGACATATTCTGTTCACTTGGGTTTCATTTCTATGTACGGTATTCTTTCCCATATGCCTTTACTCTCTTTAATCTANACTAAATATGTTGGTCATGTACACAGATGCGAAATGTTGTGTATCTTTACAATAAAAATAAAAAAAACAGTAAAAATATATCGTTGTTTTTATTTAATATATACGTAACTGTCATCAAACGAAAATAGATCCAACTGATTTGATATAGATCGAAAACAAATGACTCATATCTTACCGAAATCCATTGAGATCCATGCAAGTAAATATTTTATTGCATTCTAGAATGCCAGTGAATTTACATTTTATAATACAATCGACTAGTTATTTAACGTAAATATATAGGATTTACATTAAATCATTTTTTATCTTTATGATAAATCATCCATTATGTGAATAATTCTTCTATATACTTTCATTTTGAATACATCGACGTTGTTAAAACTAATAAAGCTATTTTTATTTGGATTTTTTACTATTACAGCAATTCTCTGTTACATATAGATGTATGTGTCTAGAATGCCGAAATAATAATTTGATTGATTGACTAGTTAACACGTTACAAAAACACACATTACGATGATATACCAGGCTATAATTATGCCCATTATAGGTGAATCTGGCCCCCCAATGAGGTCGATCGACACCAGTGGAGATGGTAAACTATGCCTCGACTCGTACTATATAAATTTACAATAGATTATGGTCACGTGAATAGGTTTGGGCCTGGATGCCTGTAAGGATATGCTTTAAATCGCTGTCATCTGTCTAATCCAGTGTTTCCCAAACTTTTCAGACTACTGCCTCCTTTTAGTGTATATATTTCTATATTTCTTACATATGTATTGTTTCAAAATGAATTTTTGTCTCCCCTATTATCCACCCCTTGAGTCTTCTGGTATAATCAAACACTTAAAATATTAATTAACCACTTCAGAAATTTAAAAAAAGTAACACTTACGTCAGAATCTACCCCTTTGTCGACTCCGGGACAAGTAAACGTGACCAATTCGTGACACCTCTTATGAACCACAAAGCTGCAAACTATAAATAATAACAATAAATGACATTCGTGTAATAAAACCGATTTCAGAATGAAATTTATTACGTAAACAGTCATTTCGAACATAATTAAAATGTTTACTATTTTAATTACGTTCGTAACAGTCGATACGAGGACTTTACACTAGAATAATTGAAATCAATGATTGTATGGAAACCTAACACAGAATTTATTTCGTATAATAACTTTAATTTCTTTTAAAATTCTTCAAGCATAAGTTATATTATACATACATGTAATTCCAGATTTAATTTTTTTTACATTGATAACTGTTCCAAACCTACAATTTTGTTACCTCTAATCTTTCAGAAAAGGGTAAGGTCCTGTCTGTAAATAATCTTCCAATAGACTTAAAATAATTTTAAACGTAAATTAATTTAATATTTTACACATCGAACGAGCAAATACTTATGGTGAGTGACACGGTCACAATGCCAGGCTGCAATTTTTAATCATATTTTTCATTTATTTAATTTAAAATAGAGCATACGCTCTCCACCTCAANTGCCCCGATCTCCCCTATTGTTTAAAAATGAATTTTTGTCTCCCCTATTATCCACCCCTTGAGTCTTCTGGTATAATCAAACACTTAAAATATTAATTAACCACTTCAGAAATTTAAAAAAAGTAACACTTACGTCAGAATCTACCCCTTTGTCGACTCCGGGACAAGTAAACGTGACCAATTCGTGACACCTCTTATGAACCACAAAGCTGCAAACTATAAATAATAACAATAAATGACATTCGTGTAATAAAACCGATTTCAGAATGAAATTTATTACGTAAACAGTCATTTCGAACATAATTAAAATGTTTACTATTTTAATTACGTTCGTAACAGTCGATACGAGGACTTTACACTAGAATAATTGAAATCAATGATTGTATGGAAACCTAACACAGAATTTATTTCGTATAATAACTTTAATTTCTTTTAAAATTCTTCAAGCATAAGTTATATTATACATACATGTAATTCCAGATTTAATTTTTTTTACATTGATAACTGTTCCAAACCTACAATTTTGTTACCTCTAATCTTTCAGAAAAGGGTAAGGTCCTGTCTGTAAATAATCTTCCAATAGACTTAAAATAATTTTAAACGTAAATTAATTTAATATTTTACACATCGAACGAGCAAATACTTATGGTGAGTGACACGGTCACAATGCCAGGCTGCAATTTTTAATAATATTTTTCATTTATTTAATTTAAAATAGAGCATACTCTCTCCACCTCAAATTAGTAGTGGCTTGCCCCTGTACACGATACTTTCCTGTTAGAATAGGTCATCTATCTAACAACTTTCGGGAACAAATTTTTGAATTGAAATAAAGTCACCTCCGCTTTGCATAGGAAGGAAATCTTAGGGGTAGAAGGCTTAATCGGAGCCTTCTACCCCTAAGATTTCCTTATCTTGTCACGTCTTTTATCTATCTAACTCCGTTCTCGAGATTAAGGAAAGACAGACAAACAGACGGATGACAGTGGGAATTGATAGATCTACAATTTTTTCAAATTGCATCCCAATTAAGAAAGTAGAAATAAAAAGGGGGCTAAAAATAGCTTAATTTCTCTCAAAAGATATAAAATATTGAGAAAAACATGCTTGAAGATTAGCAAATCTTATCTAAATTTGATAAGATTTTCTATGTTTAGTGTTAACTTTTCAACGATTTTTTTGTAACTAAAATTAACAGTTTTTGTAATTTATTAATATAAAAAACCATCCAAATTACAACATCGTATCTTTTATTAGAATTCTACGTTATCTCTAAATTCTCTACAAAATTGAAAATCATGGTAATATATAATAAGGTACTTAAATTAATCTTCTTTCTTTGATAACATCACAAAATAATTTAATATTATAACAAAACACTTTATAGTCAACTGTATTGTTTATTAAAATCTAAAAATCATCCCATTTAGAATATTTGTATAACTGGCAGTAATTTGATAATTACTGCCAGTTATACAGCAATAATTTATATAAATAAAAGTAGTTTGTAGTTTTAAAAATTAAATTATGATCATTTAAAATATACGAATTATTAACTACAATAAAGGATTCTCAAAACTTAACCCTACTCCTATGATAAAGAAAGAATTTATAACAAAATTCATGCAAATATTGCATTCGATAATTAGAATAATGTCATCTCACCTTACGATGAGGATAGAGTTTCATTATAATTATTGAATGCTATTTGCTCATATTAGAGTTATGATCGAACTTTACAGGGTGATTCATAAGGTCTTAAGCAAAATTTAAAGTTAGGTCAGGAATACGAAAACAACCCATTTTTACCTAAGAACGTATAGCCGCAAACACTATCCGAGTGTTCTAATAAACATGTTGTACCTCACGTGTACTACTTTCTGCGTGATTCTTCCTATACTTCTAGTAATTTCGGGTGGCGTTTGAGAATGTTCCTAGGTAAAATGTTTTGTTTTTGTATTCCTGATTCTCCTTTAAAGTTCTTCTAAGACCTTTTGAATCACCCTGTATGTATAGGTTATTTTTTAACGAAGCGAAAGTCAGGAGATTAAAACATTCTTATTGGAAGCTTTAAGTTATTTACATCTGTTACGAATGCTTAATGATTTTTATGCAGAGTGCTTCATAAAAATTTGACCAAATTTCACAGGATTATAGAGGGAAAAACCGAATGGAAAAGTCGAGGCTGTTTTTTGACCTGGAGTGTTAATTAGCCAGTTATTAAGCATTAAAACGTAGTGACATCATTTCCGCTTTTTAAGTAATTAAATTACAATCAGATGGATTGGGAGAGAAAGACCAAATAACTCAATCTGCACACTTTTCCGATTTAAATCCTCTAGGTTTTTCTTATGATCGCTTAATAACTCGCTAATTAACCTTTTTCATGCTTATAGAGTCACGTTCACACTTTTTCAGGCTTAAAGAGGGGGAAACCCTTCTGTAAGCCTGTGAAATTTGGCCAAGCATTAAGTAGATATAGTTAAATAGCTAAGTGAAACACCCTGTATATACAGGATATTTCAGCTTCTTAACTATATAACTTCTTCCTTCTTTAAATACGTTATGTAACTTAATATATTATTATATAATATATATTAATATGAGATATGGCTCATAAAAATATAATTTGAATTGTGCCTATATAGCTTGATTGATAACAAAAATCAGTTATATTAAACAGAGAAGTAAGTGAATTACTTGATAAATCTTTGTGTCGAATGTAGCATAATACAAATTCGTTATAAAGTGAATGCACGTACCTTGACACTGGTATCCCTGCTTGCCGAAACCCCTGAAATGAATTAAATTATTTAATAATAAATACGTAATCCTTAATAAAATTAAAAAAATAATAAATACGTTTAATTATTTGAGAACAGTTTCCATATTTAAATTTCATTCGAATAAATATAAGAATGTCATACATCAGTGAAGAAGTTTAGAATACTTAATTTATTCTATCACCGAAATTAAATACAGTACAAACTCAGATACAGTAGACCCCCCCATAACACTGTAGATAATTCCGTGTTATATGAATTCCATGTTGTACGAGTCACTTAGATTTTACAAATACGTGAGCCGTTCACAGCCCGGCAACGTATTTGTAAAATCTAAGTGACTCGTACAACATTAAATTCATATAACACGGAATTATCTACAGTGTTATAGGGGGTCTACTGTACTGTACATATCCAGTTGATTCGTATCCGTGTAAACTCTCATTAATCTAGTACACCTCTGTGCAAAGACGGGCCGGATTAGCGAATGTCTACTGTAATTATGAAAAATGTAGGCATAGAAATTATTCTATACTTCTCATCGCTTCTATCAAAGAAAGAACATCCTTATAAAGGTAAGTTCTGCTCTACATGCTAAATTCTAACACCACATGCTACTGAGATACCATTCAGAATATACATCCAAATATAAACACAAATGTGGAATCAATGAGTTAATCATACAAATATAACTTGCATTTTATTATTATTCTATTCCTAATTATACATTATAATAACACTTAAACTCATCTTGCTAATATATATCTTTAAAAACTGACTCGATTTAACAAACCCCAGTTAGTGCGTTAAATCGAAGTTCTTCTGTATTTAACTCGAAAATACATTAGTAACATACAAGTACTGTATATTAACATAATTTAAATATTTTATATACAAAAAAAAAACAAAAAAATTATTTTAATTGACATATTAAATTAAAGATTAACTTCTAATAAAATTTCATTCGCTGATTATAATGAAATCATTTAAGTCACACGTACGATTCTGATAAAGTTTATTCACGAACTGTTTATTCTTAATATCATTAAACACAAGCTCATGCCTTATCTGAGACGAGTAGGAGATTAAAAAGAAATTAAAATAATATCGTATATCACATTAAATATTGAAATATGGCGATTTTATGGTGTGATTTAAAGCGAATATTTCGAAATTTGACACTTGCATAAGTTCTATAAAAGTTTTTGAAGTGTCAGTTGAATTTTTTTTTTATGAGAAGTTGTAAATTATCCATCATTTTTGAAGTTAAAAATAAATTATACCTTCTAACAAAGAAGCCGTTATTCTAAATTATCATTTTCTATTAATAAAAAGATTGTCAGCCGGCATTTATTTTGTGTAAAATACAGAAAGTTCTATTGAAAATCATGAATAACTCGTATGTTTAAAGCATTGTTTATGTAAGGAATTCATTCGTACGATTAAAAAAATCCAGCAAAAAGTTGCGTAACTTTTCCGGCCAGACTTTAAAATTATATGTGGCTCCATTCGAGATACGACATGTGTCCTTCCCGTATCTTTCCATCCTCTCGACCTTTAACCACCAAAATTTAATAGAATCAATGCCCCTAATACAAAAATCCCCCTACAAAAATTTCAGAAATTTTCGACAAAAGGCACGTGAGTTATTAAGCTTCAAAGAGAGTAAACAAAACCCTGCCACAGACACTCATTAACATTTCTTACTTCACAATTAGTGCAATTTGTAACACAAACTTTGTCTTCGTTTTTAATATACGCGGCAATTAGAAGATTCGTAACAGATGTAAATAACTTAAAGCTTCCAATGATAATGTTTTAATCTCCTGACTTTCGCCTCGTTAAAAAAAAAAAAATTAATAACAACAATAAATAAAATTTTACAGGAACGTAACCATATAACGAAGTTTCTTGGCAGTAAATGATGGAAGATTCTTTTAAAGACAGAATTCGTTGTTATCTTTAATCACTTTTGCAGACAGTTTTCTTGAAAATAGTTTTATTTTTCCGTTCCATGGGCACTAAAGAGGGCCTTTTCAATCGTATATATCATAGGAGTAGCGGGAGAATTAATGGAACATTCGAAGTCATACATACAATGCGTAAGTATTGTATGACTTACATGTGGTGTGATGTCTGAATTTGTAACGTAACATACCGGGATATTTGCCCGTGGAAAATTTCGAGAGATGGTTCTCGTGAATTCAACCTTGGAGCTAGGTTAATGCCTTTACTGACTCGATTATCAGGCCATCTTCTGTGCTAAACGACTGAAGTCATTCAGAATAGCCCAAAATCCATAATAAAGCAGAGATTAAAAGAGGTACTCCATAACAGACCAATCCCTTGTATCAACTAATAAATCGATCATCTCATTAAATGAAGAACTGCGTGTTGCATCGTTGGTATATCTTTCAAATTACCTCAAAAACTATTAAGAAAATTAAATAATTGTTAATAGATCTAAAAGTATTATAGGTATTTGAAGAAAAATACATGGGAAAGTGCATTCATCTCAGGTAATTCGCGAACGGGTGTTACAACAGGACGTTTAATGAAACCTCCTGTTGAACATGGCAAATTAAGAGTAAGATTACTGCAGAGTTTGAAAGAAAAATAATAGAAGAAACTGTCAATATTTTATAATATAAATTAATAAATATAGATTTTTAATTATGTTTTCCTGATTTCATTTCATTCAGAATATACAAAAGAGATACTCTTTAATAATATCTTACTGAAATTTCTCGGTTGTATTATAATCAAGAAAATTTAATATCGTCTCCGGAATAACAATAGTTACTGACGTCACTCTATTGTCCTCGATATTAGCAATATTCATTATTTATTTTTATTTAAAATAAACTAACGAAAGTATTCAAAGAGAAAGGTGAAAACAAATCCAACGTCGTCTTTGAAAAGTTTCAATTAATACAAAAATTATTTATTCAGTTTATTATCTTTGCCTAAAAAGTATATTTTTGTAATAAAATTTCATTATTTAAACAATATAAGGGAGATTATTTAAAGGATATTTCTTGAATTGTCATTGGTACATTTTAAGACCTTTCCCCTAGACACAGAAGATTGGGGGCCTTCTGTATACTATAATTTTACATAATCATAAACTAATAACATAATAATAACTAGAGATAACAGAAACATTTGGAAAATTGGGTATTAAACTCGTTAACTGGAAGTCGGGATTTTTACCCCTTAAACTTCGACCCTAAAACCTGAAACTCCATAAGAAAAATTGTATGCAGCCCTACCGAAGCCTATAGTGTTTTTGAGGCCCCTAAACTTCATTTAAAATTTTCAACAATAAACTTGCTAATGTATCCATTAAGTGGCTATCAAAATTCTAAGAAACTTCTCAAAATAATTACTTTTAACTCTTTTCATCTTTAAATTTCAAATTACCTTTTCCTATTACATAACAGAAATAATGAATTTTCTGTAAACCGAAACGTTTTTAAATAGAGTTTCAAGTTAGAATTAAATCTAAAAAATTATTATAATTTTCTATTGTATAATGTAAGATCATTTTAGAGAAAAGTGTACAGAAATTTTTTAATGTTTACATCAATTTGCATACTTGAATCAACATTCTACAACTCAATAATCAATATTTACTTAAAAATATTTACTCATTTAGCTTAGTGATCGACTTCAGTTTCATACGTCTCTCCAGAATTAAGGACTATTGTAAGAAAATGCACATAACTGACTTAATTATGCTTACTAAAATAGCATAAAAGTAGTGACGACGATACTTGATCATAGAAGAGCAGTAGTCAAGTATCCCTCGAGTAAGAACCCGTTTATATGAACTCGCAAAGCTCAGATTTAATCATTTAATGTACAATAAATAAAGCATAAACAACGAGTAAAAGCTTCTCTAAATAAGCGTAAAAACGCTATAAAGGGAGAGAAACGTAATTCTGTTTAACGCTCTCTACGAATGGTCAACTGATATCTTGACGTAATAAGAAGTTAAGGGGTTAACTTGTACAATGTGGCTAATCCGCTCGCTCGACACACCGACCACATCGATTCGCATCATGTTTCTATGGCAATTGTTGCCATAGAAACATGATTCGATGTGGCCCATCTAGTCAGTCGGTCACCATCTGTTGTTACTATAGAAACATGACGTGGAGTCGGCAGAGGCAAATACACTGGAAGATACAACTGAACGTCTACACCCAAAACACCTACAGCCGAAAAATCTATATAGAGCAGCTCTGGGTTTAATATGAAAAATTTACAACTTTCTGTCTTATTTCTCGCACGAGACATAAGATATTCGATTACAGAAACTGAATTCGAAAATCGTTAATCCACATCTAAGTTAATTGGATGGATCCAAGCCGTTTTGTATAGCGTATCAACGTACATAACCATGCGATATTGAAGCACAGAAATATTTTTGGACGTTGTATTTGTATACAAAAGGTTATTTTAGTGGTATATCTATCAATTACGCCGTTGGCACATTATTCAGAAGTGTTGTAATTCATAAATACTAAACGAGCGAACCCTCGAGAATTCAAAACAATGTTTATTACACTACTCTATTGATCCAATTTACAACTTGTTTTTCGTTTCCCCTTCAAGATGGATACGGTTTTATAAACATATAGCAGAATGACTAGGAAAAGGGCCTGGGTTCCGGGTCCCTCACCTTTGTAAACAACTAAATTAAGAAAAAAAAACAACAAATAAAACAAGGGAAGATAACAAACGCACTTATATAAAATATCAAAGCTCTTCATCTACACTAGCACAGGGGTGAATGTGGATTTGCACATTCTAATTAGGGCCCTCCCCTAATATCGGTTCTATTTACGCTACTGTACGCCGATCCCACTAAGTATCCGCAGCCGTTCTTATTTAATTTTTATTTTCATTTCCTTTATAAAGTGAAACGACATTAAGGTGATAATTATTCCTGTTACGTTTGATAGCTTTCTTCTATTTATATCGTAATAACTCTTAATACATTTCG